GCCCGCCTTCCGCGTGCTGCCAGACTGGCCCCGCTGCTCCTGCACCCAGGTGGGCACCAGTAGTGAGGCCCACCGGGGGCAGGGGCAGGGCCAGGTGAGGGAGCAGGGCCTGCGTGAGCCTGGGGGTGGGATTTCGGGGGATAGCAAGACTGAGGCTCCCTGGGGAGACTGGACAAGGCCCAGAAACAGGGATGTGGCCTCAGTGAGCGCCAGAGGCCCAGGTCCTGCGTGTCCAGGGTGGGGGGAGGGGTGGCTCTGGGCCATTTCCCTGCAGCCCCTGCGCGTCACCTCGCACTTGACAGCGAGCACACCTGTCTCCCCAGACCCTGACCTGGCAGTGACACCATCGGCCTGCGGAGCTGTGGGGGCACCTGCCGACACAGTCGGGTGCGGGGGGACCACCCCTCAGGCTCCAGGGACACCCCCCTCAGGGCCCGGCTGGCTGTCCATCCCACAGGGTCACCTTTAGCTCACATCCCCCCTCCCACACGGACAGACTACGGACTCGACTCGGGAGGCGGGCGCTGGCGGGAAGTGGCCCCAGACTCAGGCAGGAAGAGGAGGGGCTGACGCCAGGGTGCACGTGGGGCTGCAGGGTTTGTGCAGTGTGTGGTCCCCCAGTGGGGGGGCATGGCTGGGACAGCCTGGCCACGAGGCCCCAGGCCTCCATGCGTGGGCCCTGGATGTCGCTGTGCTGACCAGGGCTCATCCCCGTGGGCAGGAGGGACGGACATGGCCCTGATGCAGGCGCTGCTGTGCTGTCCTGGAGGAGGAAGGGCCTGGGCGCTGGGAGAGGCAGGTGCCCAGCCCGGCTCTGCGGCCTTAGAAAGCCCAGCTGCGCCCAGGATGCCCTGGGAGCGGTGGCACCTGTTCTTGGGCTCTGAGGACCTGAGAGCGACACAGACCTGCTGGGCCCCGCCTCCGGCCTCCAGCAGCTGACCGCCCCTCGTGCTTCCTGAAGACCCCAGGAGTCCCCTCTGAATGTGGCCCTGGCGGTTGGGTGGGCGGGACCCTGACTGCACCTCGTTGCCCCCAGGCTCTGGGGAGCGGGAGTCCCCTCTGCTCCGTGCTGCCGGCCTTTGTGAATAAACGCAGTTTGCAGCGTATTTGTCACCATCGCCCATAAACCCGCACATTCAGTTGCTTCCAGGCGTGGGCTGTGGCTCACGCGCAGCCTGTGTGCTGGGCCGCGGGGACGCATGATGGTTCCTGGCCGGCAGCCGGTCAGCTGGGCCCCTGAGCAGGAGGGCGCCCGCGAGCCTCAGCCGGGTGCCTCCGGACACCCCGTCCGTCCCCCGATGTCTCTCCTGCTCCCCAGTGAGGACTGAGCACCAGGAGAGGAAAAGTGGGTCGCGTTCCCCAAATCCCATTCCACTTCCACTCTAGCAGCAGGGAGGACAGGCAGCCCTAAGAGGCAGTGTCCACGTGTCCTAGAAGCATGGCTTCCCGGCGCCGTGCACAGACGAGGCAGGTCCGTGGTCTGTCCTTGCACTGGGCAGAGCTGGTCCGAGCCCCCCAGTGACCTGTGGTTGGCCGAGGCGTGTGCCCGAGCCCGTCCTGGCAGCCGATGCCCCCGTGCGAGCTGGCAGTGGCACTAGGAGACTTGGTGCTTGCAGAGCGCGATGGGGCCGTGACGGCCGAGAGCGGGCACATCGAGGCAGGGGCTGAGGTCCCAGCTGAGCTGGGCAGGGAGAGTGGGGTGAGGTCCAACCTCGCGGCTCCTCCCCGGGAAAGGAGAGCCGGCCCATAAACAGAAATAGGCGGCAGGTGCAGCCACCACACACACTCAGCCCCCCGCTTCCCTCTGGGGAGTTCTCTCCACTTTCAGCCCCCAGCCCGCAGCCCCTCACCCCTTAGCCCCTCAGGTCCCGCCCCTCAGCCCCAGCCCCGCCCCCTCAGGTGGGGCAGGGAGCTGGGACCTCAGCCCTGGGCAGATGGGGAGGCCGCCCAGTGGGGCTCCGGCTCCCTCTGCCCCCCACCCTGCCCCGCGGCCATTGCACAACCCAGGAGGGTCCTGGCTGGGGTGCTCGCTGGCCACCTGCCAGGCTGGGGCCGCCTCCGTTTCCCCATCGATACACAGGGAGGGAGCCATGTCTCCAGGAGGTTGTGAGCCAACGGCCAGGGCAGACTGTCCCAGCCAGGGGACCACCTCCCGAGGACCTGGACGGGACAACGCCCACGACGCCCAGGCCGTGCTCCTGTCCGGGCCCTGCTCACCCAGCGCCTCGCCGCGAGGGAGGTGCCAGGTGGAGGCAGAGGGGGACTTTGGACTTGGTCCTGAGGCCGGGAGCTGGGAAGGGCCGCAGGGGAGGGACAGGCAGATCCCTCATGGAGGCCGGGGTAGCGGCAGGGCTGAGGGCGTGGCCATGCTCCAGGTGACCTCGAGCAGGACATTGGGGTCATAGTCCCTGGGCCCAGGGCCCCTAGGAGAGGCAGCCCGTCCTGCCCGCCCCGCCCCCCAACACATTCACACTGCCTGGGAGGGAGGGAGGGAGCAAGATTGTCAGAGCCAGGCTCTGAGTCTGGGCGCCCAGGGGCCCCATGGCACAGACCCTGCTGTCAGCGTGACAGCCCCAAGAGCAGGTGGGGAACCGCATGGGGACAGGCTTCGGGGGGAGGAGGCTGGCCTCCGGATGTGGGTGGGGTGGGGTGGAGGGGAACCCCTGCTTTGCAGACGAGGAGACCAAGGCTCAGACAGCTGCCTGCTCGAAGGGCCTCCGCCCTGGAAAGGGACACTGTCCCGGGCTGCCCACGGCCAGAGCAGCAGCAGGCTTAGGAGAGGACGGGAGGCCTTTCCTCCACG